GAGGACCATTGAATCGCGGATAGAATCACGGATATGTGATTGTAGGATCACGCGGCGTCGCGCGCGACAAACTGCGACTATCTCATGCTTGCAATCGAGCGCGCGCTCAGATGATCCACACGTCAACTTAACGTGACATTTGCTGCGATCTTTTCAACAGCCTTATCCTTAAAACCCGACAATTGATAAATTGTTTCCTTCCGTTTCAGGGGATCACCGTCAGATCGCGTTTATTATTCAGTCCAGCCATTCAAGAAATACTCTGTTGAAAAGATCGCAGCAAATGTCACGTTAAGTTGACGTGTGGATCATCTGAGCGCGCGCTCGATTGCAAGCATGAGATAGTCGCAGTTTGTCGCGCGCGACGCCGCGTGATCCTACAATCACATATCCGTGATTCTATCCGCGATTCAATGGTCCTCTGAACTTGCAGTACTAAAAGGCGACTTATCCCTTGAAGTACTCGAGGTAAACGGTTCGTAAAATAAACGGTATAGAACAAGGGCTGCTACGAACTAATTGATTTGACGCCACAGTATTGCGTCGAGTCAACAAGCTAAGAACGCTGATTTGCACGTGATGCCGCGACGCGGATCTCCCCAACTACACCCCACATACGCATATCAAAAATCCCTAACAAGAATCGTGGGGAGGGAAAGGATGAGTTAATCGAAGTGAAGTTTCACTATAATCCGAACATAAACTCATATCGTTCTCTTCGTAATCGTCGACTAGTTGGGAATCTAACATGGCGTTCTCCTTTTCCCGAATTCGGAAGCCTCTCATGGCAATATCCACAACTTCATTGCCGACCGTTTGACCCAGAGCCACGCGAGCCGCTCTGGCTACGTCCATATCGTCGTCATTTGCTAGGCGGTCAAGGACCGTCTTCACCGTCAGTGGCGTCAATCGCTTGGAATCACTCGCTATCGCATGTGACTGCAACGATGCATCGCACAGTGTGAGGGCACGGCAAACTGCTATCCGGACATTGACGACATCTGAAACTGCTTCGATCAATCGGAAGTACTGAATGATTCATTATCTAGTTCCTTTTCCTGGCTTGTCGAAATACAGTCAATAACGCCGTAGTGAATCGAGGTGGCGTCTGCCTAGATAGAGTTTTGGCGTGGTGCAAGCCCCTTGCCCACCATTAATGGAACGACCGAAGCCGCAACGAGCAGTGGAAAAAGGGTTGCAGCCGCGCCAAGACCCACCCACCCTCCGCTGACGCCACCCCGACCAACTGCGACGAAATCAACTGTGCGTTCTTGGAGGTCCTCTGTTACCGTGAACACGAACGTCATACTTATTCAGCGCGAAAACATCTGCAGCCTGGGTATAGCCTACAGTCATCAGCACCACAGTTCTGTTCTAGTGCTGGGTAGTGTAGCGTCAAGCGCTTCCGTACCAAACGAATAAGGTTAAAATTTATGAGGTCAAACTAACACCAATGACAAGTTCTCAGAGAATATGGTGATTTGAAGCTTGTCGGCACTTCTGTATCTGTTAATGAAATATTCCGCTCGGTGTCGAACTACCCCCGAGGACAAGGTCTCAACCAGAGCTGCCCCACGGGGCAAATTTCGGCGCTAATCACCTCGGAGGAGGGGGGGGGGAAGGGAAGGGCACACCTGTAAGCTTTGCCAATGTGTGTGTCGTTGCCTTTTCTTTTGCCTTTTTGCAATCGTGTCTCACCCTGCACATCAAGTTCTAGGAATTCCTATCAACACCCTTTAAGCGTGGCGAAATGGTACTAACGTCATTTGATCGCCATTTCTTCACTTTTCCTTCATTGACCAATTATTCTGACAAGTTTGACAGGTTATAACAAGGCTTACAGGGTGTTGACAAGGTTATGTGGTGTTCACATGTAAATAGTTTACAGGAACTAGCATGCTAATGAGCTCTCACACGTATGCCCCCTTTCACAAGATTGTTCGCGCCAAAAGTTCTACCAAAAAAAATCACTAGTGCCCTACAACACTTACTGTCTGTAGCCATCGAGATGAGATGGGGCAGAAGAAAGTATCGGAACTGTTCCATCGACAAGGAGTGGTCCAACAGTACCCTTTCACAGACGTAGGCAAATCTGAAATCGCCAGGATACATTCCAAAACACTAGTAAGCTACAGACTGGTTCTGGAGTCACTGCTAGAAGGCTTGAGTAAGCAACTAGCTAAACTTTCCAAAAGCCTTAGAACAGAAAAGAAAACTCAGGGAATCAGCTGAAAGCTTCATAACTCACGTTTGCCGTCGAGTCCATTTTTGGGTATTCGCGAAACCGTTGACTAAGTCTTGGATGAACAGCTCGGTCAAAGTAGAACCTGATGAAGAATCATTTGACTCTATACTTCCGACTAGGTCCGCCCATTCGTGATCGACTAATCGAGCAAGGATCTGCGACAAAAGATGAACTGCCTCCTTTCGCACTTCCGCAACTCGATCTGTAATTAAACTTTTTGAAGTGCGATTTATAATTGCAAAATAGGGAGCGATATAGATCAAGTTGTAAATATCGCTTCTGAAGCAAATGAAGTAATTCTGGTCATAATATGATTCAGGAGGGGAGGGGGGGGGCTCACGCGACGCTATTACAAGACTCTTTAGAGCTGAATCGGGGGTCGAGCGTTACTTCCGAATCACGAAATCGCACGTATTCTTAGAGTATTTCCTAGGTAGTTGGCTAGACAGACACAGAGAGCCAGTCGACTGGAGAGACGCAGGCGTAGAGAGAGTCGACGCACCGCGGCATTGCTACCTTGAATGGTTTGGGTCCTGGTGCGAACACTGCGCACGTTACCCACCTCCTTGCAAATCATATTTCCCCGCTCTCGGCTCGACTCGAACGTAAAGCTCCACACGCGATAGAGCACGGATAGAGGAGGGGACCAAAATTTTCATAGGCCACTTTCG